AGTGATACCTTGAATTAGGCCAAAATAACAACAGTGAGAAAATTGCTAAGTCTCAGGTGCATTCAGGTTTCCATACTCTAAATTTAAAGCACGAAAAGCAAGATTCCAGCTACATAATTTGGTTGATTATCAGTATTCTGTCACGTGTGTTTTCATCATGGTAGGAAACTGATATGCTTATGCCTTTTTGATTTACTGCTATAGTTAAATATCAAGAGTATAATAAAAAATAAATGCTACAAGTTAAACTGAATGGTACTAGGACAGTTAAGTGAAGGAGAAGGAAAATATAGCAGGGAGAACATAACTTGATAGCTGAAAAGGTATGAACTCTCACTTATTCATAGACCATCAGGATATTTTTAGTGTAAATACTTCTCCTAACAGATAGGCTCTTAAGAAGTTCTTCTTGTCTATCATTATCCACCTCACAAAGAAAAAAAATCTGTCATGGAAGAATAAGCCTGATCCAAAGTCCACTGGTGCCAGCGGGTTTTGGATTAGTTTGAAGGATCATGGTTCTCATGTATACAAATAAAAAATAAAAATCCTCATGCTGAACTATGAACCTGAGCCAGGCTCAGTGAAGCAGCTTTGATGTGGGTCTGGTGAATTAAATAACAGACAAGAAATCTCTGTTACTTGTTGGAAAATTTTAAAGTGCATAGATTTTCCACATCAATAACTTTCCCTTAAAATGGACTTACTGAGATCCAGCTAAGAATGTATGCTTCAGAATACTAATGTCACTCACTGCATAAAGCAGACGTCGCTGTATAGAGCCATGAGGGGAAAATAACCCAAATACCACATATACCAGGTTTATTGTAAAGGGTGAGATTTTTGAAAGCAAAAAGTCAAAACAAAATTGAAGTGGTGCATTTAAATAATGCAGATAAGAGGGTGCATAACCCTCTACAGGGCAAGTCTGCAAAACTTTATCATATTGAAATGACCCTCCAATATTTGAAATATTTTAGGTCCTTCCTACGATCTCAGGATTTGTGAAGTTAGAAATACATCACTGGTTCTTCTGTGGAAAGCTCCTGTGTATGAAGGCAAAAGCCCTATTACTGGGTATTTAGTGGATTATAAGGAGGTAGATACAGAAGACTGGATCACTGCTAATGAAAAACCTACTCCAAAGCGCTATTTTAAGGTAACATTTTCATTTTTTTAGTTTCAATTCAAAAGCGAGTTCTGAAAACCTCTGATTAAGTACAACAAAGATGTATATTTGAACTTGGGCTTCTGATAATATCTTCATATAAAGAAAGAAAAGTTTAGATTGTTTTTTAAATTGGCTTTGCTCTTTATCTTGTTCAAGGTCACTGATTTACATGAAGGTCATACCTATGTTTTCAAAGTTCGTGCAGTGAATGACGCTGGGGTAGGCAAGTCATCTGAAATATCTGAACCAGTGCTTGTTGAGGCACGGCCAGGTAATGCACTGTTTAATATCCTCTGCCTCTAAACCACTGAAATACTTAGAAAGGAGTTTAATCAGTCTGATTTGATATTGTAACATAGATAAGTATTTCAAGCGTTAAGAAGCTCTTAGCCTCAAAACTTACAGAAAAAAATTACGTGGGTACAGAGGTACTGTCAAAATTTTTTGTTTTACTTACAGCAGGAAATATTTTATCATCAGTTATTTTAGTTTTTATTCTCATAAATAAAGTTCCTGCTTGCTGTGAGCGAAAAGAAGTATTACAACATTTATTAAAGCTTCAAGAGTGATGTAAAATTAACTTAAACTGTTTGTATCTTCTCATATTCAGTTTACTTTTACAGTTTTGTTTCTCAATAAGCATTTATTATTTTTAATATTTCTTTCTTTTTGTGAAGAGTAAAAACTTTGATAGTATTTGATGCTGAGTCAGCATATGGCACAAGTGTGCTTTAAGATCTGCAAGTAAGATCAGTATCTGTTAGTGAACATGGACAAAATTTCCATGGGCTTTAGTAACTTCTGAGTTGCAGCTTCAAAGAAAAATGCACCCTTGACATTTGAGCTGATTCCTATTTTGCAGGAACAAAAGAAATCTTTTCAGGTGTTGACGATGAGGGCAATATTTACCTGGCTTTTGAGTGCAAAGAAGCTACAGATGCATCTCATTTTGCATGGGGTAAATCGTATGAGGAGATTGGTGATTCTGATAAGTTTATGATTGAAACAGAAGGACATCAGTAAGTTACACCAATCTATCAAAATATTAGAAGTTTGTAATTTTAAAAGTGACAATGACCTGAGAAGCCCCACTAATGATATCCTTCTTTATTGTTGATTTTAGTTCTAAGCTGTACTTCAAAAATCCTGATAAGTCAGACTTGGGAACTTACTCTATATCAGTTAGTGACACGGATGGGATTTCATCCAGCTTCGTTATGGATGAAGAAGGTAAGGTCCCTGTCTTAAGTCTTTCTTCATTTTGTTATCTCAACTGCACTAAGAATTGTCTAAGAAAACACACAAACAAACAAAAAAACAACTCCACAACTCTCACGTTCTTTCCTGTGCATTAAGAAAAAAAAAAAAAGACCACAAAACAGGTTTTATATGGTTAGCTATTTTTCTTATCACAATATATGAAAAAGTTGGGATAATTTAAGACAGTATTTTCCTTTAAAAATAAAATAAAATATGCCTGATTAGAATGGTTTCTATCAAGCTAAGACTATAATGCTGTTTGTAAATACCTGTTGCAATTCAGTTAAGTGTTTGAAAAGGTTGCTTTTTTCACTGTTTTGGGAAGCTCTTTCTCTAGTATGTCACTTTTGTTGTACTTTGATTTTATAGCCTTTCACATCTTATCATAATTAGTTCTCTAACTAAAATGGTAGCTGTAAAGCTACCATCAGATCTCTGCTAACCAAGGAGCCTGATATAGAAGCAGACCTTGAGGCTCTACAGGTACTTTTGCATAACTGAGATGCAGAGAATTAGTGAGAAGAATATGAGAAAATTGATGTTGCCTTAACAAGATTTGAATACACTGGGTTAAATTATATCTTTTCTTAAATTTAGATTAGTTTTTGTTTGTTTATTTCATTGTAAATCTTTTGATTCATTTGAGTTGAAATGAATTTGCTTCAGTCTGACTTTGGTTTACTATTGAGGTGAAAGGCAAAGTGGGGAAACTTTGCTATTTTCAAATAGCATGAAAATTACTTTGGTGCTTTCCAAGTCCACAAGCTCAAATTGCTATGCCCAGTTCCTTAAGCATGAAAATCCCTCTACTTACCTCCTTTCTAAGTCATTTAAGGAGAGGAGATGAGGCTGAATGTGAGTCCGATAAAAGACAGGGGCTTATGTAACAGTGCAAACCATGTCAAACCTCCCATTCAAAGTAGGTGCTGAGAAGAAATCCATCTGTGACCACAAAAAACATGGCTCTCCAGGACACAGATCATTTGTGTGGAGTCTTAGTCATTATCAATATCGTTTTTTTCTAGCAAAGCTAAACTTGTAATATTTTACATTTTCCAATGAATTCTGCAGGAAAAGACAGACATGCAATTGATCATGAGGACTTATCTTTGGCTTAGTTTTTGAAGCATCACTCTAAAACTGTCTGTAGGTATTGTTACCATGAGTTCTACCTATGGATTTTTTTTAAATAGAAGAGCACTGAAGGTTTTTCCTGTCCCACACTTAGCCCATATCTTCCTTGTGTCATCTGTGACTCAAAATTACACTTTTATTTTTACTGGATCTCTGCAGAAATGCTGGATTTTACAACTTAGCACCAAAACCTGCTATTTAACTGTTCATTTACTTTTTCAAATTCTATAAATCCTCCTGTAATTTTATTAGATCCTCAGACACATCATAAATCCTTGCTAATTTCCTCTGGTCTTTACATTACCTGTAAATTTGGAATTGGCAGTAATGTTCATCTTCCAAATCTTTATTAGTAATGAGTATGATAAATAGAGTTAGTATGAAAATCTAACAAAGTGATTTCCAGATTCTCATGGAGCCTTTATGAGGATTTAGTGTATTAAATAGAACTTTCTGTACCTTTTTCAGACAAACCTGCACTCAAGATATTTTTTCTGCCACAGTAAAACAAGGTTTTAAGGTACACTGTCAGAAAGGAAGTAATCAGATAAAGGAAACCTACACTACTGTTGTATCCCATCTTTGGTTTCCACCCCATAAAGCATTTTAAAATAGGTTTTGTTCCTTCTTTAGGTTCTTTTGTATAAGAGAGTGTGCATGAAAATGCATGAAACAGGAACACTAGCTAAACCCATATATCAGAATTTCAAGTTTCTTAAATCTTATGTTTTAGTCATCATTTTCTGAAAAATGTTGGATATTTCACATATAAGACCTAAGAAGATTATTTACCTTCTTTGACACTCACTTTCTGACTGTATTTTTCAGAATAAAATAAAACATTATTATTTTTCTTCATTTCAGAGTTTGAACGTTTGATGGCATTAAGCAATGAAATAAAGAATCCAAGTAAGTTGAAGATCTGGATCTAATTGATACTTCTAGAATAAATATCATTACATACTAATGACTGCAGTTCCAAAAAGGTTTTGATGAGACAGTGGTAGCTTCATTTGTCATGGAACAACTTGCTTTCTTCTCTTCCCATTAATTTAGAAGAATATTACATCGAATAAAATCATCATTGTCTAAAAGTCTTTTGAAGTTAAACTTTGACAATAAAGTATAGGATATTACTAGTCAATTTCATTAAATAATGTGCAAATTATAATCTCTAAATTCTTCTCTCCTTTTGAGAAATTAATTAAAAAATCAGCCAAAGACTACATTAGATATCTTTTCCCTGCATAAAATTTATTCCATATCCAGAGTTCTGTAAATAATAGGGAGATACAAATATTTTACTACAGTAGTCTTTTTTTTTTTTTTTTTTTTTCACTCAGCAGGATTCATGCATTATTGACTTCTGATTGCTTTTCTTTCTGCAGCAATACCTCTGAAATCAGAATTAGCTTATGAGATTCTTGAGAAAGGAGAAGTTCGTTTCTGGATTCAGGCTGAAAGCTTATCAGCAGATTCTACCTTCAGATTTGTTATTAATGATAAAGAGGTTGAAAACAGTGATGTAAGTACATATTGAATACTATATATATGTGATAGCATTTGATGAACCTTTATGCATTAATAGGTATTCTATTTTTCTAGTTGGTATAAACCATGTTATAGAAGTCTGATAATACCTTAAAGGAACACCAGTCTTTACCTTGAATCTTTTTTGCAGTATAGAATTCCTGTTGTGGAATGAGCCTGCTCATATAAAAACAAACAAACAAACAAACCAAACAAAACCAAAAAACAAACAAAAAGGCAAAATTTATGCCCAGAAGTTCATTTTAATTTTGGGTAGCTAGATGACCAACATCCAAAAAGAAGGAGAAATTAGACACAGGCCAGTATTAGACACATCTGATTAGAAGTGGAGCACCTATGTTTTAGGAAAATAACTCAAGACAAAAATGCTGTTTCAAGTACAATTTTGGACTCCAAACTAGCAAGATGTGTTGTTCCCAGAGACAGTCTGAGGCTACTGATACTAGTCTTACGTAAAATGTGGGAGGTGCTTGACAGTTCAACAATGATCATAGATATAAAAATTCCAGATGGTGTTACTTTCTATTTTTTTCCAAAATCTAAATTTTGATGTAGACACTAAATGGGCATTGAACGTCTATTTAGAGATGGAAGGGCAGGCCACCAGCTTCTTGCATTTTTATAGCCCTAAGAAGGTCTTTCATAGAAAGGGACACAAAAAATTAAATTGGGATGAGAAGAAACCACGGTCCTGCCTTTTCATGGCTGGGGTACGTTTCATCTACTGGGCATAAAGCATGGCACTGGAAATACCTTTTCCTGTGAGGAATCCACCTCCAGTTCAGATGTTTGAAAGGTCCAGTTTATTCCCAAGGATGGAAAGCCTGATCTTGGCCAGAGAAACTTATCACCATTTATATACCATAGAAAAGCAAAGACCATTTACTTTAATTACATATTGACAAGTGGAAGAAAAAATGTTGCTGAGTAAAATACTTCTCTGCTTTTCTTACTTTAAGAAGCAATAAACCATAGCATTGAAAACCTAAATATTAGTGACTAGGATGTATTGAAATGACAATATTCTGTCTTGGCAAAGTTAGTGGAACAGAACAAGCTATTTTTAGTTTGCATATGTTTTGGAAGTGTTGACATCAGAGAGAGTCTTGAAGTGGAGCTACATTATTTCACCTCTTTAATTAGTAACCCACAGGTGACATTTACTTTTGGAGACTGATGATATTTTTGTGGAAAGTCACATAAAAGCCTAGTATTTATGGTGCCCATAAAATCATTGAACTTCATCTTGCTGCATAATGGCAATAGTTAGAAGCCTAATTACACTCTAAAACCTGCCTGGAGACTGGGCTACAGTCACTGAACATGCTCAATAGACCGTTAGGCTGGTGAATTGTAGTCTGATTCTTGACATTGGCTGAAGTGATAAATTTTTCCTTCTAAGTCCTAACAGTGAATGGTTTCAATAAAATTTCAAAATAATCTGAGAATGGAATGAACTATGCCTCATTTAATTAGCTGTCATTTTAATATTTAAATATTTTTTCCTTTACCCAAAAGCAAGAAATAAAAAAAAAAATCTATAAGTGTGATGAAGGATCAGATTAAAACATACATCTTGCTCTTCTTTTTCTGCTTCTGGTAAATCTCAATTTAGCATTCTCTCTGAGAATTCATGAAATGAATGCAAGTGTTTTCCCTGACCTCTGTGGGCAAGAGACTGTAAATGAGAATTTGACTTTGCACTTCTTGATAGTGTGGCGAAGTTTATAACTTCTCTTTTTAACCTAGCTGGCCTATCTCCTCAGCTCTTAGAGAGATATTCTTACATAGCTTATTTTTTTACTTCACTTTCTGATTATTTAAATCTTCTCTTAGATTTTAACATTATATCTTTCTCTGAACTATATATAGGAAAGTTCATATCCAAAATATATGAGCATTTCCCCCTGTTGTTCTATATAAATGTTATACCTTGGTCTCTTCCCTCTAAGTAATTTATTTAATAAATTGTTATCCTAATCAATCTGTTGGCTACTGCTTTGTTATTCCATTATCTTTTATCTTTCTTCATTCTTCAGTTCCTGCATTAAGATTTACACTACTATTATTTTTATATTTGACAGTGCCAGTAATGAATGCTAAAAATCTTGACTATGTCTATTCTTCCAGCCATGTCGTCCATATAACAGTGATTCTTGTGGCTGGCTGTGATATGTCCCTCAAAGCTGAAGCAGATTTATCTGTGGAGTCATTCCTACTGATTTTGGACCAATACTTAAAGGTTCTTCCACTTAAGGAAGTGGTACTAGAAAGTTAAATAAGTGGTATTTTTACTAGCTTTTTTCCCTTTCTTCTTTCTTCCCCTTTCCTAATTTTTATCTACCTGCGGCTTTAGGTACCTTTTTCTAGTTTTGGAGTCTAATAAAAAGGTTAATCAAAACCTTCTTTTTATGACAAGTAATATTTCCTTTTAACAGTGACATGGTCTATAATAATTTACTGCATAAAATTCCTTTCTAGATGGTGACATTTACTTTTCTGTCTGTTTGGTTATGAAGGTAACAGGTAGTGTGTAATATACTTGGCTACATTCATTACCTGAAATTATTAACAAAGTAACTTATGTGGATTATTTTTCCTTTGCTTTGGGAATTTGGTATCTGAGATTCAAACAACATCACTGTTAGCAGGACACACAGTCCTCATGGCTGTTACTCATTGAATGAAAGGTGCTATTACTTAGTAAAAGGTGATTGTACCTAAATTAGTAACTTCAAATTCAAAACATATTTAACAAGTATTGTCCAATATTTGCTTGCAGTTTTCTGTTTCCTTGACGATGCCTGCCAATAATTTATCTTTCTGGAATTTTTAATGGAATGCAAACACAAAAAGGAAACAAACAGTAAAAAGCATATTTAACTTTGAAGTCAAGTTAATATTTGGTGGTTTGGGTATTCTGCAAGCACTTTAGTAGGTAACTAGATGTTTTGACAGACTTTTAAGTCTTTTTACTGAACTTGGTTGATCTTTAATTCCCAGAAGCTTTCTGGGTTTTGCACAAGCTACTGTTCTCATGGTCTTGGGTTTTAGTTGTCTTTGAAAAGAATACCTGTATTAGATGACCAAACTTTTATACCCTTCCTAGATACACTTTTTTAGTGAGAAGATAAGATCTAGTATTGAGGTTCCATATGTCTCAGAGATATTTAGAAGTGATGACTTTTTCAATTTGTTGTGATGGATTTATTTGGAGATCTGCATTTATGTCTACAAACATAATACTTCCAGCTATTTCTGGACTCTGCTAGGAACAGTGCTTCAGCCTAGCAACCCCTCCTTGTTGAACTAGAAACTAATACTACCACAGGCTGACTGTGTAGGTACTTCTTCAAACATGCACAGTGCCACAAACTATTATTTTAAAATCCAAACTAGCTGTATTATGATGGATCAAGGATTCCAAATGTGGCTGCACACAGAGGTTTCTGTCATCGCTAGGATCTTGTTGCACAACAGTAAATACAAGCACAGCCCTCTTCCCATAGTTTACGATTAAAAGGACATGAAAAAGAATGAGTGTTGAGGCAGGGATATAAACCATAATTTATTTGATAGGGATTCATAAGTAATCTATACTACACTAAAGTTACTACTTGTTTATTTCAGAGGCATAAAATACATTGTGATCGTTCAAATGGCATCATAGAAATGGTGATGGAAAAATTTACAATTGACAATGAAGGTACCTACACAGTACAGATTCAAGATGGAAAAGCCAAGAACCAGTCTTCATTAGTTCTCATTGGAGATGGTATGTTCACTGAAACTTTGACTCTGATAAAGAAATGAATTTCAATTATTTCTTGAGTAATTCTGTGACTGACTCATTTTTCATTTTCCTCATCAAAAATTTAGCATTTAAGGAAGCATTGGCTGAGTCTGAGCTCCAGAGAAAGGAATTTCTCAGGAAGCAAGGTAAGGCAGAGTTGATTGGTGCCTTTAGGTCCAGTTTGCAATCAACGATAAATTCCTGGTGAATACTAAGTGCTTCCAGCTTCCATTGATTTTGTTAGAAGATGAATATATTGCACAGTTTGAGGAGACACTGAACTCCTGATGGATCTTATTTTCCAACATTTTCATATGATATGCACAAATTGTGACAGAACTTTCACTAAATCAAGAAATAAAGTGGAAGTCCTTTCAAAAGGTTATGCTTAATGTTAGTGGAACGGTGCCTGCTGGAGGCTCTGGTCCAAGAAAGCATTTCAGCATGTTTAGTTTTAAGCATTCAAATTATCCCTTCAATATAACTGACAGAAGAGTAGACAGCATAGTGTCAGACAAGGAAGGTTAAAAACCTGTCCCTGTGGTATCTGTCCAGGCAAAATTCCAGGAACTAAATGTATATTTGTTGCATAATTGCTATACAGTTACAGAGTTTGTTATCAATTTTGTTTGTGGCAGAAAGTAAGAATTACTATTGGATAACCAATTCAGAGTTCTATCACTGTGAAATCCTTAAAAAATTGAGTTTGAGCTCTAGTTTGTATTTTCACTTGGCAAGCACATAACTTTTAGGATGAAAGTAATAATAATAATTAAAAGCATTTATTCTAAATAGTTTTGGCAAGATCCTTTACACAAGAAATGTAATTCTATGGTTTTCTGTTTTGGTTTGTTTTTTTTTGGGGGGGGAGAGGGATTTTTTTTTTTTTTTCTCAATAGATTTAGGAAGGAAATTATAGTGCTTACAGCATAAACTCACAAAATCTTTCAGTTCTCAGTGATTTAATTGAAAGTCAGGAACTTTGCTACTTCTGAGGTCTGCAATTATGGACCCTGATTCTGTGGACACTAAAAGATAAATTTACTGTCAGGAGTAACCACAATAACTTTAAAAAGGCTATGTATGTCAGTACAGTTACTTAAGGATATATATATTTGCAGGATTGGAACCTCAGTGGGGAAAACAGTTCTGCTCCTGTTCTGCTCCTAATGTTTAATACATTTTTAAACTTTATATAATTTGGACGTTTAGTGTCTGGTATGGGATTTTGCTTTGAACATTCAGCTGAGTATTTGGATATATTTGTTTATTCTTTGGTTCTCTTTCCATTAAGTACATTATTTGTACACTTGTTTGTAGCTACTCTTTTTTTTTTCCCCTATGCTTAGTTGGCAATTGAATATAAGCATATTTAGTAAACTAATTTGTCTCACTTACCATTTTAATTTTTGCAATACTACATTACTTACCATACAAACTGAGTTGAGCCTCAGGTTTCTAAGCTGAACTGTAGACACCTGTGTCATATTAACTTTTGTTAATATGACAAAAACTTACTCCAGGATTTTCCTTCTAGTGCACGTGTAGTTCAGGAGTTCTCTCTCATTGTTGCAGTGTAAGGATGTTATAATGTAATTGTCACTCTTTTTCTTTCTTTAACTGAATGTCTCTGATGTCTCTTCAGTCTACATCATATCTTAAAGACAATTTTGTTTCTTAGGTCCTCACTTCTCAGAGTTTTTGTATTGGGAAGTTACAGAGGAGTGCGAAGTTTTACTTGCTTGTAAGGTGAGGAAATATGCTTGAAATAATTTGTTAGAATGTGTTGATTAAAAATTGAGGTAGGAAAATGTGAGGAAAGATTTTGATATTTTTAAAAGGAAAAGTTTCATATGGCAACTTTTTTATTATTTAGAAATAGTTAAAAACACAATTTCTCACTGCTTTTTAGCAGTTGTCATAAGAACAATGACAAAAAATATCACAGGACATTTCTAAAAGTTTTAGATGATGTAATTCTTTATAATAATTGTGAACCATAAAAATAATTTAAACAAAATATTCATCCATTATTGGTCTTTCTTCCTTCCTCAGAAAATAGCTACAGAAGGCCACAGTTCAAACTTTCCTCATTTTTACCAAAGCATCTGTTATTTAATCAACTGCAAACAAACATGCAACAAAGACTTATAGAATTAAAGTTATACAACATGATTTCTATTATATTTGGCTAATGACTTTTGAATCTTAACTAATGCTAATGTGAGTGGAATTCACAGTAACTTCTGCTATTAACATCTTTATATGCCATTCTAAACTGATATATTTTCATTTTTGTTGCTCTTCTGGAGTGACTAATTGGAGGTCTGAATAACCAATTTAATTGAATTCAACAGGCATCAAATTCTTCTTCCTTGTCTTTTCCTGTAATAAGGACTCTTTTGTATTAATTTTCTCCACTTCTTTGAATAAGTTTCTGGCTTTTAATTAGACCAACTTGAATAATTAATTATGAGCAATTTAAATGCGTATTTGTGGGATTTTTTTTTTCCTTTCTTTTTTTCTGCTCACTGATTAGGAGACCTTTAACCTCAAGTTATTCCCAGCAGAACTGACCTAGGTGGTGAAGCAGCAAGCCTGTGTGCTTTCATTTTAAGGTTCAACATTCATTAGCTAACATACTACCTTTATTAGTGCTGAGCTGCATAGCTGGAGTATTTTATAATCTTGACATGCATTTGCCTCAGGCACGAACCCTGCTTATCCTCTCATGCACATGGGGAATTAAATGTTTCTGAACCAGTTATACTAGTGTTAATTCTCTACATATTAATCTGAAATTATCCTTCTTTTCATTGACTGGTGAGCCTGTTTATACCACTGAAACTGTGAAAGGCTGAGCGTCTGATTATATTATTTTCACCAGTGTATTTTTGTTCATAAGGTCAGAACACTTTATGTAAATGAAATCTAGGATGTGGGCTGTTTGCACACTCATCATTTTAACTATGCCATTGACCTTATAATGCTTGTTACTGCTAGCATGTGACTGGCCATTAGGTTCACATGGTACCACTGTTTCTGCCCATTAACCGATATTTGTACATAGTTTGAACAGTAAAGCCTGGATTTGTCCTACAAATTTCAGGTACCTGGTATTCAGCTTAGAAGTGTGGCTGCCTTAGGCTATTTCTGTGGTAGTAAAGACATCCAAGGACCAATATCTGCCTCCCCAGGCTGTATCATAGCACTTAGCCCATGTCTCTTCTAGGTTCTGTTTAACGCTCCTGTGCAAATATAACTGTCATGGGTGTTTTTACCTCTTGAAAGAGCCTGAGATAATGTGAAAGAAGTATCTGTAAGAGATGGCTTTTTGCCTTGACTGTCTCAAAGGCCATTGCATGAAATAAGGGTGTTAGGAAACCAGGCCATCTGGAAGCTTGTGTAGGGCAGAGGACTGACTATATGATACAGGTCCATAACCCTAATAATGGACAAATAAGGACTGTGTTATAGAAGAGTATATCAAAACTAATGCATGTAACCTCATGTACCACTTGTTTTCAATGTAAGTGGACCTGACTGACTTCTGATTGATTTAATATTAAATTCTGAAATAGCTGCAATTTTCTGACCTTGTTCTGGGTGTTGTAGCCCCTGCATGCCAGTGGACATGTTTGTTCATCTGTACAATAATTTGGTGGTGTTTGCTTTTTATTGTGTGGGTTTTTTTTTGGGTTTTTTTTGTTTTTTTTTTAATATGCCGAGATTTACTATAATTTTTCTTCAAGTATTTCTAAATTTCAGAAAGTTCAGAAGCTACCTGTTCTTGCATAATTTTGACCCTATTTGTACTCTGTTGAAAGCAGGATTTTTGGTGTGCAGATAAACAGTGAAAAAAGCAACTTTTCATAGAATGTCAACATGAAATAACTTCAGCACTGCAATTGCATGTGTCTGACACTCAAGTCTATTCATTGTCAGATTGAGTGCTAACAGTTTTTGATGAAAAATTGTTGAAAAGCATTAAAGGCTTGTTCCTTCAGGCTTTGTTCAGGTAAAATTGCCGCTCATGTCATATGACTGTAGGAATAGCCTAACTTAGTAGTTACTAGTGAACATAAAATACTGCTCATTTTTCTCAAGCAAGACATTGCTTTGGGCCAGGCCGTGATCTCAAATTCTCTGTCAGAGATCTGTGTCACCGATACTTGTTATTTAGCAGCAATATATGTGATTAATTTGAGGTGGTTTATAGAGATGTCCAGAAATCAGTATAAGAGGCCCTCTTATTTGTCTAGTCACCTCTATAGAGAGCTTTCACAGAGCTGTTCATCTATGAAATAACTTCTCTAATGTGAAAAGGTTAGAAATTGGTGCATGTTTTTTTCCTTCAAGCAAGTCACTTGAAAACTATTTCAGATCTGTATTAACTTTTGAGCTGCCCTCTATCCATTTGTTCAGCTTTTTTTTTTTAAGGAGGCTTTTTAAAGCAACTGCCTAGGGACTGAGAAGTGTCCTGCTAGCGCTGTCCTTCTACCAAAGCCATGCTGACTGGTAATTCAGGCTCTGCACAGAACTACCATGACCTTATTGTGATTTTTAAAAGAGTATAGGGGTAGTGATGTCAAATAAACCATAGAGTTCTGAAAGGGAGAAAAATAAAATATATTGTCAGGGTTCTTTCTAAACAGAGCTGTGCTTCTAGCTTCTTTGAATTCACAGTTTGAGGTCATTCACTCAGCAATATTTTAAGCATCACCAATACACAATTCATATTTTAAAATTATAGCAGTACTTGAGGTATGGCTGTAGTTTATTTATGCATTGCTTAGATGAGTTGCTGCTACTACAGCAAAATATTTGCTTTCAATCAACTTCTCTGCATTTGCACTACATTTTTGTGTTGGGAGAGACTGCAATTTGTAGGATACCTGAAGTCTTTGTACTTCCCACAGGACACAGTGTAGTAGAAAAACAGTATTCTGGTGCAGATCACAGTTTTGAAGTCTGATATGCTTTCAGAATATTAATTTTTTCTCTGCAGTTTAGCCCTGAAAGACATTGCTTAGGTAGCTGGGACAAATCTGCAAATTGGCTGAAGAGTCTTTAAAGCAGGGCCTAAGTTCTGTGTTACAGAACCCTGGAGACACATGACAAACACAAAAAGATAAAGGAGAACTCGGCAGTTCTAATTTCAAAGATACTTCTCAATGACACCTCTAGATGAACTACAACCACATAGCAAGGGTGCAAAATCCTTTAAGAGGAGAACTTGACAGGATTGCCTTTAAGGATTTGACAGGGCTCCAAAGCTGTAAGCTGTATACTTCTGACCAGATTTGGGCTGCAAATAAATACCAAAGGACTAAGATCTGATTAGTAGGACTTGATTGAAATTGTTCTTCCAATTAGCTTAATTTGACTTGTGTTATAAAAAATGGGCTGCTTATGTTGAAAGTGTGTGTGTGACTACCCACGGTACCTCTCTTCGGTACATAACCCGGCTGGCGTGCCTGTCCTGTTGTACAGGTTGCGAACACAAAGAAGGAGACTGTTTTCAAGTGGTATAAGGATGGTTCTGGGATTGATGTTGATGAGGAGCCTGACCTGCAGAAGGGACAATGTCAACTCAGTATTCCCAAGGTACAGTATCAACTACTGTTTAGAAATGACGGTTTCTGCTTGACACGCTATAGATTTGCAAGGCAGAGGACTAAACCATCTATAATGATTTCTGTGAACCATTTTAAGAAAAAGCACATTTGCTACCCTTCAATTAGCTGGTGAGTAACTAATGCTAGTAAAAGAGTATCTATTTTTGTTATCAGCTTAGACAGTTCATGCTTAAATTGCTTCAGAGTCCTTAGGTGAACTCTATCTCGTTCTTTCTTATTGCTCCTTAATTTTTCAATTTGTTCAAGCACCTCATTTCTGACAGTTTCAGTTTTATTGCCTAAAATGAATAGGTTTGAGGTATATGACTTCTTAAAATTTATCTTTATGCAAACTGGATAACCTAAGTTTTGTCTGAAGCCTTAGTTTGCATAGCTGCTGCCTTCATGAAGTGTCAAAACCTTCCTGGATCAAGTTTTTCTGCTTTCAGCAAAATGTGCATTCCATTTAGTTGATTTATTTATTTGTTGGTTTAATAGTCTTCTAATTTCCTTCCTTTATTTCACTTGCAAGATGAAACTGACTTTCCAGTGGCTTAATTTTTTTTGGGTAGCCTGTTGGGGAGTGTGTTTTCTGTTTGTCTTGAATTGCTCTTGTTACTTGTCATTCAGTTCTGTCATGCTTCTGCTATGATTTACTGGCTTGTGGACTTATATCAGTGTAAGACTCAGTTAAATAATCACCAATCTATATATAATTATTTATATAGTTTCCTTCAGGTTTCAAAATAAATCAAAATAAAACCACCCAAACCAAAACCCCCTATGCTTTTAATGCAGTATCACTGTGTTACACTTTAGAATGTAATGTTACATTTTAGAATGCTCTTTCCAAGATCAATGAATTAATTTTTTACTTAGCATAGATATAATTCAACTACAGTTGCTGCTTGAATGAAGTCTGCTGAGTTGATATTCGGAGAGTTAAAGGATAGAAATTTGTTGTTATGCTTTACAGAAATTGATTTTAAAAAGTAATTGTTTTGGTTGAAGATAAATTGCATTTCTAAAGTTTGTGTGGGTTTAAGTTACCCTGTTACATCTTACCACACTACTCGTAATTTCTAGTGACCAGTATCAATTCTGTTTGTCTTTTTGGTACAAGAGAAAAATCCCCATTTCTCAAGGCAATTGAACTGAAATCAGAATATGTTTTAAGCTTAAGAACTAATTACAGCTCCATAAAAAAACATGCACAATCCATAGCTTCCATCGCATCTCTGGCAAGATTGTTTAACCTGAATGTGGTACAGTGTATGTTGGTTCATTTAGAAAAACATGCAGGGGTTGAGGAAATGTAGTACTATTATCAAGTTTGTCAGTAAATAACTTGTGTTTTCCTTGTAGCTATCTCGCAAAGATGAAGGAGTTTATAAGGCAACGCTATCAGATGATAGAGGTCATGATCTGTCTACTCTTGAATTATCAGGAAAAGGTAACATTCAGTTTGCTGTCTTGGAATAATGATCTCCACATGTTCTCAAGAGGAGTCAAAGATCTATCCTTTCAAATGGCAGGTTAGCAAACAGTTTTGGGGTCATTTGCATTTCAGTTCTCTTTTTACACTTATAAAGGCCTGGATTATTCTTATTGAGACCTGAAATGCAGATCACCAGTTTAGGAGGGGCAACACTTGGCATTGCAATGATTACTCTCTGGCACTCTGATAGGCAAGAAATGGAGTAAGTTTCTAATCAGATAGACACCCCATTTTATGTGAGATCTTTTGCAAAGAGTTCTCTTCCTCTCTCAGATTTCTCAAGCTTAAATGTCTACAAAGAAATCTTAAAACACCAAAGTGCTCAACACATTGTTGTGGGACTGTCAGTGAGGACCAAGAGTTACTTTGATCATAAAATTGTAACGCTATTTTGTGGGTTAAGTGCAGTAAGCAGCTCAGTCCCATGCAGCCACTCACTCCCACCTTCCCAGTGGAATGGGAAAGTGAGAAAACTCATGGGCTGAGATAAAGAGTTTAAAAGGTACAGCATAAGCTATGTATGCAGGCAAAGGAAAATAAAGAATTCATTCACTGCTTCCCATTGTCAGGCAGGTGTCCAGTCATCTCCAGGAAAGCAGGGCTCCATCACTTGCAACAGTGACTTGGGAAGACAAATACCATATCTCTGAATAACTCTGAATGACCACCCTTTTTACCTCCAGCTTTTATTGCTGAGCATAACATCATATGGTATGGGATATCCATCTGGTCAGTTGGGGTCAGCTGTCCTGGCTGTGTCCCCTCCCAGCTCCAGTCGGTCTAAGGAAAAGAAATAAAAGCCCTTCATGCTGTGCAAGCACTGCTGAGCAATACCTAAAACATTCCCATGTTATCAACACTATTTTAGTCACAAATCCAAAACACAGCACCATACAAGCTGTTATGAAGAAAATGAACCCTATCCCAAGTCAAGGCCAGCATGATCTCCAGCCCTTATTCCACACCTTCTCTGTCATGTGCAGGTCCCATGCTATCTATCCAATACAGCCTCATTAACCGCCTCCTCCCTTCCCATCCTTTGATATATACACACATATCATTCCCTTAGCTTACAGATTTACAAGTAAGGGATATCCTGACCACTGTAATAAACAAAAGGTACAGTAGTTCTCCACTTTATGGTCAGGGGCCCTTTCAGATACTACAGACCTTAGTTCAGGTATGCCAGGACTATGCTGTGCTGGAAATGTACAGTGAAATGCCTGTTTAGAGAATTCAGTGTCTAATTCTATCAGTCCAGGTGGCTTTGAAAAAGTCAAGCAGCAAAAGCACAAGAAATGCAGTGCTAGAACAAACTGTAGGTAGTGAACTCCTAAATGGTGGAGTTAGCCTTGAAACATAAAGGATAAACAGAGAAGTTTAGTATGAACAGAGCCCTGGAAGACTGCATATGGTATTGGGCAGGTTAGTTCAAGCTCAGTGTCCACTGGCATTCAAATTAAGATAAAGGCAAATAAAGGTAAGAGAATATAGTCTAAAAGGTACTACTGATAAGCATTTAAATAAGGTTTCATATGTTATCAGGTATCAGAGTGAGCTACTGTAATTATATTTACATTTAAGTTTATTCAGAAAAAAAAAAGTTAGTTTTTTAAAACTTTTTAAAGAAGTTAGGGCTTCCTTGCTTAGGTACCACCAATTAGGTCAAAGCGAACCTGGATTCATGCCACCTATATGTAGACATTTGACCCAAATAATGAATATTTTTTGCCATGTCCTAACAGAGGGAGAAAGACATATTCAAAAATTGACTCAGTTTACCAAAGATCTAAACATCTAATTTTTTATTATTTTTTTTTTATTTAGCAGGCTGGGGAAGTACCTGAAATAAGAGAAAAAGCTTAATATCAGACTGAGTTTTTAAGCTGTGGTTTACCTCAGAAAGTTGTATTATTGTCTGATAGTCTCTTGGGCATTTTTCCTCTGCATAAATTCTGCCCATTATTCTTTCAGAAAAAAAAAAAAAAAATCTAATTTAGACACTGTAAGTAATATAAGCCCATCTTCCTAGAAATCTGTAATGTAAGGTATACATAGTATGCAATTCATGTCCTTATGTCAACATTCCAGCTGAAGCACACTGGAGGTTGTGGAGGGTTACAAAATTGAATCACAATTTATTTTAAGAGACAAAAAAAAGCTCAGATACAGATTAATACAGACCAAATACACAAGCAGTATTTTCTGAACTTGCATTTTGCTGTCTTCCCTATTCATATAAATTCTTCAGCCTTGAATGTGCGGTCTTCAGATTATGGTGGTTCTTTCTCTCTCTTTCCATCTTATGCAGTGACACTGAACAGGATTCTGCTGCTATGAGTTTCCTGCTCTTCTGCCCTTGTCTCCAGGGTTCTCCCCTTCTGCAAATCCATCAGCTTTGTGATAGTTCACAAGCTTGAGAAGATACCTGTTGTCTTTCACTTACTATTGAACGGGTTTACACTTGTTAAAATGACATCCTACAGGGAGCAGGTGAAAACTGTTTTCACCTATAATGCGATAATTTCTCTTTCCACTGTACTCTCCTTTGAATGTGAACTATCCAGTTTTAATGACCTTTTATTATTTCTGGCCTGAAGGATACAAAGACAAAGATCTGAGAGCAGACAGCTGACTCCACAGAGAGCAGAGATACTGAGCGGCATAGAACAGAATTCATATGCTGTACACAGTCTCCAATTTGTCCCATTCACCTGTTGCAATTTTAATGGTTTTCTTTGCCTAAGGATGTGAAGATTTCCCATATTGCTTCAATTAAACTGAACATAACAAAGCTATATTTTGATTTAATTTTGATGGTACTTTTCTTTTCCCCCCCTCTCTTCAGTGTATGATGATATAATTCTGGCATTGAGTGGAGTCAGTGGTAAGTAAATGCTGTTTTGGATTTTCATGTAGTTGGTTTTTTTTTTTTTTTTTATGTTAAAGTCATCTGAGCCTGATGCAAACAGTTTTTATTGTAAGTGGGGAATTTCCAAGAGTCATGATGCTTATATTGCTATGGACATATTAAGTTTCTGAATAGGCATTTGACCTTGCTAATTGACACTATTAAAAGGGAACAAAGTATTATTCCATTTGGCTTATTTGGTTTAGGTACCGTGACAATGCTGTAGCAATAATTTTCTCCCTGCTCCTCATTACTAAGTGAACCTTGATACGGAGAGGATGAGATTCTGGTGCTGCTCTCAGTAAGAAGTTGGGAGTCATTTCACTGAAAGAAAAGGGGTTGCACAAGAATACCCTTTTTGTGCAGTTAGACTGATGACACTATTGTTTCATGAGAATTACATGACTAGCTCATTATTTCACAAAGGATCTTGCTAGTCATTATGCTTGTATGTGACAATAAAACCACAAACTCATAGGGAACTTTCACCTTCTTTGAGAGGCAAGAATAATTATCTCTTTGTGGTAGCTGATAATCATTGCTCAGATCTTGAGTTATTTTTTTTTTTGTCCTGTTAGTAAAAATAGTCTGTTAGACTGTTTATTATTCTTTCTACTCTCCTGTTTGATTTGGTATACTCTATTTTATGTAGGTAAGTCAGCCTCTCCACTGAAGATCCTTTGCACTGAGGAAGGAATAAGGCTCCAGTGTTTCTTGAAGTACTACAATGAAGAAATGAAAATCAGCTGGTCTCACAGGTGGGTGAGAATATATTTTTTCAATTTCATTTGAGAAAAATTGCCATCTTTATGACCTTCTATTTACTGTTCTGTGGCATTCATTGGTAACTGGACCGCATTAATTAATTTCTCTTCCCAGCTCTTCATATTCTCTTTTCACATAGACAGTACATACAGTAAAAGAACTATCAACAGACATGTGCAACACCTATCAGAAGGGCTGTAACAGCCAGGAAAAAAAGAATCTTCAGTATTCCAGCCTCTTATTCAACACAAGACTGTTTGTCTTCCTCTGTATTGTCTGGTCAGTTCAAATTCCCTTTTCTTTAAATGGATGAAATTCTCCCCTAGTACTAGGTGAATACCAAAGATCTGCTCTCACAGTTTAATAAAAACCTATATTAAGAAAGGATTTTTTTTTTTTCCAAACCAGTACAGTCTTAAGTAACCCAAACCATTTTAATTCTGTTCCTCTTCTTTGAAGAGTTAATAAATGGGACACAGAATACTCTGAGAATAGCTCTCAGAGCTGAGAATATGACCAGAAATGAGCTCTAAAGTTCCCAATAGTTTTCCACCTTCATGTGACATTAATCTGAGACTCTGGAGAAATTCTAGCCGTATGTTTATTTGCAGGTAGTGTGTGTTCAAATGCTTTGCTATGTCAGGCCCTCATTTGTTTCGAACTGTAGGTAAGGTTTGAAAAGATTTAAAAATTCTTCAGGCGGTTTCAACTTTCACATTCCTTGATGGCCTACAAAGATGACACATAGTGAACTGTTCTGACTTGGACAGGAAGAGTCTGGTCTATCAGCATGTTGTCCTAGTTTTGTAATGCCAATGTCCAGCCCTTGATATTTATGAAGGCAGGAACAGAAGAAAAGTGTCAGTGCTATCAGTTCAGGGAGCTTGAGAAAAATTCTGGAAGCATGTGCAGCAGTATTCATATCTCAAGCTTTGTATTCAGTAAGTTCTCCTCCTCTTTTAGTAAATGTGATACTTATGTGATGGAAGAGAAAAGAAAAATGTTTTTTTGCCTCTGCCTTTTACTATATCTGCTTCAGTTTTGAAAGTAGCTTAGTCCATTTCATCATCCAGTTAACAGAAATATAAAACTAGAGAATGCTACATGGCTAATACACAAACATCAGTGTGCATATTTGTATTTTGCATACAGACACTCCCCTCCAAATATTTCAGATTTTATAATGTCCTACACATTTATTGTCTTGAAGATCATTGAACACATGTTTTGATCAAATAAATTTTCAACTCTTCCACAAATATAATTAATATAAACCCAAGTCATTAAAGCTAAAACAAGGACTAAAACCAAACAAGTCTCCCCCAGCCTCTCCAGACCTCCTTGCTCTTTTAAATGGAGTTCTTAGCAAATATTTTCTTGGAAAAAATGAAAGGCTAGATAATCCATTTTTTTTTTTTTTTTTTTTTTACCATTGTCAATCATGAAACTTACCATGTAGCTTTCTAGCTAGCTCTAAATTATCCACTATATTGCATAGCGTTCTAGAACAAGTATGCATCATGACACAGTGGGGAATATTATATGTAGTATTTTCTTATACTAGTTAGTTTCTATGCAGGTATCTAGTTTGGTATGCTGAACTCAATGTAGTTATTTTACAGAAAAGGACATAGTAAAAATTCCTTTTCCTTATCAAAGCAACTCTCTAGCTATGAAGACAAATCAGCTCTGTATGGGCAAATAAAATAACTGATCAAAGACAAACTAAGGCTGACTTCATCTATTAAAAATTTCAGGTAAAGATGCTTGTGGAAGAAGGATGAAAAGAAATATTTAGTTAAACAGTGGAAGTGGAAATTTCTCTTCAAAACATTGAAAGTAGTCTGGTTTGCATGTTCTCATTAAATAGCTTCTTCTGTTTCTACTCTTCATGACAAATTATGGGCCAGAAGAATGCTTGATCTAAATCAGCAGGACAGTTCTTAGATTCTCAGCTTAGGAAGTCATGATAAGTCAGTATAACGTCACTGTTTTTAAAGACCTCTTTATTAATTACCTGCGGTTAGAAAATTTGCTTCTTACCTTGTTCTTAAAAAAACTTAAAAACATTTTGACTTTGTGCAAGAATAATAAATTATATGAAAATCTTTTATTTTCTTAATTTTTTGAAGTTAATGGTGGTAAAAATATTTTCCTCAACAGAAAAGCCTATTTACCTCTCATTTACCATTTTGATGTATTCTATGTTAGTGAGTATGAAGTTCACAGAACTCTAAAGTCACGCACCATTTTTGCATACAGATGTGTGTGTACAGATATAAATGTGGATGGTTGTGTACGTATGTGGAGAGGAGGAAGAGAAGAGGGTGAACAAATTAATCTTTGGAATGAAAGCTCAGGCTAGTGGTTCCAAAGTGTTTCATCCCCCCACTAGGAAGGAAAGCATCCTCTGGGAAATTGCTCCCATTAGTTGCAATTTATCTGTCATTTAGGGAAAGTATGTTACCCTTTGTAACTTTTATAAAAGATTTCCTATGGAGAATACACATGAAAAGAATGTTTAAAGTAATTTTTATTCATTTTTCCCAGGGAATCTAAGATTTCTTCTGGTGAAAAGATGAAAATTGGAGGAGGAGAGGATGTTGTCTGGCTGCAAATAGGTGAACCCACTGAAAAGGACAAGGGGAACTATACCTTTGAAATCTTCGGTGACAAAGAATCCTACAAACGCACACTTGATCTGTCTGGTCAAGGTATAGTTATAAAAATGTACTTATATGGCAACTTTTCATGGATTAAACAGAATTTACTGCCAATAACCAGAGGAATGACAGTAAAAACAGAATATCTCTGGTCAGAAGCAGTGGTAGTTCAGTTGCAGATGCTGTTGGTCTGTTTTCACCACCAGTGGCATTTGGTTTCATGGGTTCGATTTCCCAATTTACTACTATGTAACCCTGTGTGGATTCTAAAAGAGTTTTATCACGGGTATTTGTTTAAATATTTATACCAAGCCCCAAGTGCAAGTTATGTTAATGGACAGTAACTCTCCCAATTGTTTTGTTACAGCTTTTGATGATGCATATGCAGAATTCCAGCGACTAAAGTAAGTGTTAAATCTTTTCTGTTTTAATGGTGTAACAACAGTGTCTTTACTTACAAAAAAAATACTTTATTAATAATATTAATAAAATACTATTAATTTCATCAATGACATAATAAATCTCTCTTCCTTTCTTCCTTAACAATTTTAGGGCAGCTGCTTTTGCTGAAAAGAGTAAGTTTATTTTACATTTTATCAAATGTGTTCTACAATGTAGTCTAGTATTCTCTTTAAAGCATCCATCATGATATGCTGCCACAGCTTTTAGAGTTCTGTGGCTGCAGAAATCCTGTTAGTACATAATACTGCAATAATAGTGATTTGTTGTTTTATTTGTTTATAATTCAAATGGAAATCCACTAAATGTTTTATTCATTTTGCAAGCCTCCACTGTGTCTTGTATCTACACAGGTTTTATGAGGTATGAGCTTCTGAGTGTCATACAAGGAGGTGTTGGCTTCGAAAGCTGATGATGATACTGAATATTGGAATTGACCTATTAAGTTTAAAATTACCTACTCAGTGCCTGTTGGGCAATGTTTGCTGAGACACAGACAGTGGGGAAGCTTGTTGCTGTTAGGGGCTATAGAAACTCTGGTACCTTGGTATCAGTTCTGCTGGTAATGACAAGATGCTTTTGCCCACAAAGAGAGCAGCAGGACAAATTTTCCTTAGATCTTAGATACCACCAAGATGCTAAATGCTCCTTGCTTTGCTCTGTGCCCAAAGCACAAACTGTCCCACAGTAGTAGCTTCAGGATTGTAATATGTATCAGTTTAGAATGTTACAGCACAAACTCTGCTGAAAAATCTTAGGGGACTGTACAATCTATTAAACAGAAATAACACAAAATATCACAAAAACTATATTATTTTCTGTTTAATAAACCAGGGATTACATTTTTTAAAAAAAAATTTAAGTCCAAACAAAAGCTGTGACTAGTATGGTACTAATTTATAAAATCATTAAGAAGTTAGTAGTTTTGAGGACTAAGCTTCACCTTGCCCACATATTTTTCTTTAACTCCTAGATCGTGGTAAAGTCATTGGTGGTTTACCTGACGTTGTTACGATAATGGATGGAAAGGTAAGGATGGTTTTTGTCCATGAGCCATGCTGACAGGTGAGAGGTTTGCTTTGGTGGCAAAAGGGGAAGGAATTCTGGAGATTTCATAGAAGCTGAAAGCAGAAGGAGGTTAATCAATCTGGTGAAGCATCTAGAGAACAAGTCTTATGGGTCAACTGGGGTTGTTTAGCCTGGAGAAAAGTGGGTACAGGGGAGACCTTATTGCTCTCTACAACTATCTGAGAAGTGGCTGTAGCAAGCTGGAGGTTGGTTTGTTCTCCCAAGCAACAAACGATAAAACAAATGGAAATGGCTTCAAGTTGCACCAGGAAAGGTTTAGGTTGGATATTAGGAAAAAATTCTTCACTGAAAGAGTTGTCAAGCATTGGAACAGGCTGCCCAGGGAGGTGGTGGAGTCACCACCTCTGCGGGTATTTGAAAGATGTGTAGATGAGGTGCTTAGGGACATGGTTTAGTGGTGGACTTGGCAGTGTTAGGTTAATGGTTGGACTTGATCTTAAAGATCTTTTCCGACCAAAATGATTCTATGACAATTTAAACTGTAGTTGCTTAATTGAGACATATGCAACTTCTAAAATGAGCACCATCAGCTGACTACACAGTTGGAGGAAGCACAGCCTCATTCAGATCTTATGCAAGCAAGGTCAGCCTTGAGGAGATGGTTTTGCCTGGTTATATAGAGGATGAGTTAACTACATACTCAAATCTGGGCTGGCTTTACTCTATGTGTACAGAGCAGAGCAGCTCAAGGGTAGAGTCCACTCCTGCTCTGTAGAAGAAACTGAAGAGGCCGGAGGAAGCAGCCTCTCTCTGAGGGCCAGTAATTAAGTCACATCCTCCAGCATGCCAGACATAAAATATCGTGGCTGATAAAAGAGGGTAAAGAACCTATGTGGGCCAAGGGGCTAAATTCTTCATTCTTACTATATATTTGCAGATAGTCCCATCAAAATATACAATTACATGAGATTAGTGGCCAGTGAATACATATTTTTTTGACATCAGTAAAAACTAAACATTCAGACACAAAGTCAAAATTGGTAAATTTTCACAAAGTCCCTTCCTAGGTCAGTTTGACTGATGGAGATGAAATTTCATGATTCTGACTGACTGGTGCCCCACACTGGAGATATTTGTCATGGTGGAGCAGGATCTCATGCAACCTAAGCCCAAACTCACTGGATACTAAAATAGGAGACTATTAGCCTGAGATTCTCTTAGTCCTTACAGATGCAAGGAAATACTGGAACTTGGTCTCTCTGTCCTGGGAGTGAGTTCCAAACCCTAGACACACAAGCCTTCATTTCAGAAAAGACAACCTCTTTTCATCCTTCCCACACAGACAGCAAGTTCTTGTCTTTCTGCTGAAGCAAAACCTCTGTTGAGCACCCTGTCCTTCCCTATGGGTAGAAACTAGGTCTTCAGTCTGGGAAGAAAAAGTCCTGAAAGAGAACAGGGTAAAAAAACAGAAATCTGCAGTTTTGTGCACAGTGCACAGGAGGTACTTGGAGATGATTATCCAGCATTTCTCACCACAGAACAACTACAGAATGCCTAATTACATGGTCATTACAGTCTTTAAAGAATCAAAAGGAATTATTTTCTCAAGTGGCTCATATTAATTTGTGCCTTAGTACCTTTGGTGAAAATAGATTTGGGTCCAAAAAATAAAATAGGCAACATCATGAAAGCAAGTCTAGCAAGGGCCATTAAAGACAGTGTTCTTGATAGCCAGTTTAAAAGCCACCAAATTGTGAAAGGTAGGAAGGTATACTAGGAATAGGAACATTGTTTGCTTCCTCTATTTTTGTAGACTCTCTTAAGCAGCTGCTTTTGATCTCTAAAAGACATAGATGGACTTTCTTTCCAACTAACTACAGCAGATCAACTCCTGAGCCAACGTGTTGTTTACCATATACTGGCTATCAAGAACATTAAGATCAGGCTGTTTACATCTCTTGCATGAAGTGCATCTTCAGATGCTACAGCTGTGTAGCTCTTTGTGGAAATTGTCTTTTTTATCGCTAGAGTATGAAGTTGCACAAAACTCTTCCAATTTTCTGTGTACTTGTCCATTTTCTGTATATCCAGGAGAAGTCTCTTTAGAATGATGGGAGAACATGTGGTCCTTGCAATGAATGCTGAAACCTGTTCAACTCTGGACCAGATAGAAATTAATTTCCTCTTTCCCCATTCCTCTCTTTGTCTTTAATGGGTATTCACATGAGGTGCCTTCTTACTGTGGTAGACACAAGAAAACCACAGCTGTTTTTCTCACAGCAAGAAAACTAGTCTTGGCCGTTCGGTGTCATCCACTCTAGGACGAACATCTCAAAAGAGTCTAACTGTAAGGAAACTGCTCGGTGAAGTCACCCCTCACAGCACGCATGGACTAGCTGCAGTTTTCTCATACAGTCATGCTCTAAAAGATACAACCTTAAATTAAAGAAATGCTAGATAGTGTGCTTCCAGAAGCAAAAAGCTTCAAAGGAGATCTAATCATGTGAGGATTTAATAACTGAATGTGTGATGAGAAAATCTCTGATTCCTGAAATAAGACAAAATAAAATGGATCACAAGGAAGTGAAACTTTAAAATCACCTCTAAATTAAATATACACAGGTACAATGCACAAGTTGTGTAAGTATAAGCGTGAGAAGTAACTATACAAAAAAACCCTGAAGAGTGGAGCTTTCCTCATACAGTGGAATGGTTTAACTACTCAAATACATGGACACAAGACAAAGCTTTGCTAGCATGCCTTAAGAGAGTATAAAAGATTTTAGGTAACATCTATAATTTAACAAATTAGAACAGGCCCAAATGATGTACAATGACTGTGGAATATATCTGTTCTTTGATAAGATTTTAATATTAACTTATTAGGTCCTGATTAATTATTAAGAATTAATTATTAATTGCTCTTCAATGAGGTCACTGTTGAGGGCACTAGTCATGAAATGTTACCTAAGTTACAGAAGGGACAGTAAGATTTCAACTCATGCTATTAGACATCAGTTTGATTTCCCAAAATTTTATTTTCATGTTTACATCATTACTCTAGGTGTTTCATAGCAAGGCAAGTTCCTGTGGGCTATTGGTTAACTTTACATCCTACATGATATAATTTCTTTAAGAGCACTCACACACTTAGGCTGTCACTAGGTTGTACCCAGAGCACGTAAATCATCTTTCAATGTCCAGAGCACTAATCAACACAACTTCTCAAATGATTCTTTCATTTATTCTGTCATCACTGTACCTACTTACATAAAGTTTACATACATACACGTACATATGGTGGTCAAAATTAAGTTCAGTAGTAACTAAATAAAAATTTGGAAGAAGAACCATGGAAATTTTATGGGTTTCTTCAGTCTCAGTTCAGTACTCAGACTGCCAGAGTGGCCTACTAGGTAATTTTAGCTATCCTCTAAATACACTATACATGCTTGAAACAGTTTTACAAAATTTATGTATTATTTATTCTTTGTGAAATATTTCCATTTTACTAGTCGGCATCACCCAGAACCAATGTCCAATGATTCATATAATGTACTCTATTTTAAGTGATTTTTTTTTATCATCTCAAGCAATAACCTCAGGAAGCCTTGGTCAGAAAATATTTGCTCAGTTCTCCCTGCTGTATACACGGAAACTTCAAGGATGTTTTTAAGCCTATCTTTGCCTGAACCTCATGTCAGACTAATAGGTTGTCAGGAGTCTCCTGCAGGCAGGACTGCACTGACAGTCCAGCTTACCATCTTCAGACACTGTTACCCTGAGGCTGTTACTGTATCACAGTCACCTGTAAGATGGTGGAAAGACTGAATCAAAGTAAAAATAAAACATTGGGAACTCTACTTTTCAGTCCTCAAGAACATGATACCTGTCTTCAATTAACTAGGAGTAAGAAGTACCCAAGAGCATTACTCAGAATATTCCTGTTAAATAAAGATAACTGATACTTAAAATTACTTCTTTTTTCCTCCTTCAGACGCTGAATCTGACCTGTACTGTATTTGGAAATCCTGATCCTGAAGTGGTTTGGTTCAAGAATGACAAGGCCTTTGAACTTGATGAGCACTATGCATTTTCACTGGAACAAGGGAAATATGCCAGTTTATCAATCAAGGGAGTGACCTCAGAAGACTCAGGAAAATATAGCATCCATGTCAAGAACAAGTATGGTGGGGAAACAGTGGATGTGACTGTAAGTGTGTACAGACATGGTGAAAAAATGCCTGAAATTAAGCCTGGCCAGCTTGCTAAGCCCAGGCCAATACCACCATCAGAAGAAGTCCTCAAACCTTAGGGCCAGGAATAATCCAGTAAGAAGTAAATCTTGACACTATGTTTGACAAACAGAATATATGAGCTGTAGTTGAGATATTCCCAAATGTAACACTGCTAATGTCCAAAGGGAAACTGAGCTTTTAGGTATTTGCTTTAGGGAGGTAGCTGTGTTATGATACTATACACATCTGCAACAGTCTCAGTCTGGATACATATAATAGGTTTGAACTCGCAAATAATAAAATGCCAAATGCCTGCCAGAGGTTGTCATATCCAATGGCAAGCTACAAAAATCTACAGCAAATCTCCATTTCCACCCTCCCCAGCTCTCTGCAAAAAAACCAAAAACCCCAAACAAGCCAATAACACTCTGAGAACCATTGTCCCATCAGTAAAGGTAGTGAACTGCAGTTAGGTACATATTCAGAGGTGGCTCCTGCTTTGATCCACACACAGTCCCTCTAACTTTGAAGCCTCTGATCCTTTAAGTCTAGTGGATAGGCTCTATTTAGTAATAAAACTGTTGTTTGATAGTGTGACTTTATCTTCAGCAGGCTTCTAGAAACATTCACTGTTTACTCATTAAAGCATAGGTCACATGGTTGTATTTTGTTTTTTCTTGCTTTGTGCTAATAAAACTGTAAAAGTCACCTTTGCTATTCACTGCTCCAAATCACACCTAACTAGTTCTGTTTACTCTTTTTCATTGTTTACTTATTGCTTATTGCACAATTTCACAGCTGGTAGTATGTCAACTATTGACTTCCAATAAAGAATGCAAATTATGGTTAATCACAGCCACTGGATGGCACTTGTGACATTAATTTTACTCTTTATAATACAAGTCAAGATGTAAGTTTAAACTAGTACCAGAAGACATGTGTACAGTTTATTCACTTAAGATAATTATGTCTTTAATTCTTTATCCAAAATGAACAACAGAAGTCTTCCATGGGTGATGTTCTGCTGGGCAAAGAATTCAATATACGCCTATCATGAAATATTCAGTGAGCTGACATGCATCTCTGTCATACAAAACATGACTGTTTGCACTGCTGGCTTTTTCAGATCAGGCTCAGTAAAAGTCCATTTATCTACATAATTGAACCTTCATAATTTGCTAAGCAGCTTCCAGCAAAGAATTCTTCTAACGGAAAGCAACACAGGTGATACAAACATCATGAATGCAGCTCTCCCCTCTTGTGATTTCTCCCACTCTCTAGGATAAATGCAAGGAAAAGGGAGCATTGTGGGAGATGGGAGCTTGGGTGAGGGCTGGCACTCTGTAAAACTTTCACTGGAGAAACTGGATGAAGGTGTTTGCCACAAATATCAGGACTGTAACTTGTGACTGAAAACCAGTGCTGCCTCTGACAGCCTCTGAGCTTATGTTTGGAAGATATGGAAATAATCATTCTAAGATGGGATTTTATTTTTTTTTTTTGCTTGATTTTTTTTATTTTATTTTATTTTTTCCCAGCAGACAAACTGGCAAAACCAGAGCAAATTTAATCTCAGGGCTTCTTTATTTTATTTTTTTTCCCCTCCCCTAAGTGAATATGTCCCTTGATTCAAAAAATGTTTTATTTTTGAGAGAGATGAAAATGAAAGGAAATGAGAAGTCAGTTTACAAGCTGTTAGGTACAGTAGATCAGAACACTCATCTGGGGGAGAGGAGGGCAGCATTCCACTTTTTTCCTCCTCTCCATCCATGGGGATTTGAAGTGGCCTCTCTGACCACCAAGGGTAGTGCACAAAGCCCCTATCTTCCCTGTATTTAAAGGTGCTGCTTCTATTTATCCTTTTATAGTTTGTCTGACTAGTTAAACAGATTAAAAAAGACTAGGCCTAGGCATCCTACCTCTCACATGAGAACATTAAATGCTAGATTTGAGAGGTTTTCTCCCTTTCTTGTACTTTATCTTACTTTTGAGTATTGAAAGAGGGACTGAGAGTGTGGTACTGTACATTATTTAAGAACATGGTGGTTCAAACAGATAATGATGACAATGAGGATGGATTCATTGTAGTTTCAAATTCCTTAAGTAAGGAGGACTGCAAGCCTCCTTTGCAGCTCATCGATGTCTGTGAGTAGTCATGATAAAAAGCAAGCCAGATCTGGAAAGAAAATAGTCCTTTATCACTTCATTAAAAGTTGCTTTGGTTTTAAATAAACAGATTTTTGAAAGATTTGTGTACTTAGAGCAAAAGAATGATTCTCTATTTAAATACAGTGTAAGCAGCCAGGAATTACATTGGACACTGATGAAAAAATACTTCTTTTGGGTGACATTCTTGTGGCTATGGAACCACATTCTGTCTAGTTATTGAAAAAAATGTCTGAGGGTTAAAGACTCGATAATATGATATTGCCATGAGATAATTTAATTAGGAAATTTTAGGACAAAAAGGGTTTATCCTCCAAATACAAAAATTAAAAAAAAAATTAATCTGTCATCACAAGAACTTCAGAAAATCTTTCAATAAAATAGCTCAAATTTTCTTCTTTTCTATTCTAATTTCTTATTAAAGGCCTTCAAGTTTTTCAAAATCTTAATGTGGCAGGCTCACAAAACATTGGAGCCAGTTGCTGTAGCATACAAAGTGAGTATCAGCAAGAATTTAATATTATTCTTATCTCCTTCTACAGTACACAGGTTAATTTTAGCTGACACTATCAAATTATTGCATGTTATGGCAGCTTTTCAGAGGTATCCTTGGGCACAGGAGACAAGGTTAGTCTCATCTCAGCTGTACCTTTAGGTGGCCTTCTTAGTTAAGCAAGCTTCACTTATTTCCTTCCAGGCAAACAGAAATAATTTATTATGACAGTTAATCCTCTGCTGAAGTACAGAAATTATCATTCACAGGAACATTGTATTCAAAAGGCTAAGGACTTCCTATAAACTGTTTCACATTTTTCAGTGTTCAGTGTACCTTTGATTCTTTTGTACAAATTTAAACATCTTGTTATCAATGCTAGGAAATGAATTGGGTTCACTCTGTTTAAAAGGGACTGTCTTTCCAGAGTGAACGTGCGTCTGGTTGCCCAGAGGGACAATACAATTGGATGGATATTAGAAGGACAAATAGGAAGCTCTGGCAATCAAGTCAGATGGAATACATGATGAGGCATATTAGCATTTGCACAGACCCTTCACAGACCTGGTGTCAGCATTAGTTTAATTAATAAACATTTTGAAGGGGGAAGAGAAGAAAAAATGATTTACTGAAGAAGGTCTGATGCCAAATGAGCCTACCTACACTAAGGTCAAGTGAGATTGACTCATTTATACTGGATGTGAATCTAGCCTGTTTTTACAAATACTGGGGCCTATTACAGGGAATTAGATATTTCTGTTGCCTTTGAGAAGAAATGTTTCTGTTAGAATGATTTTCTGTCACACTGGTGAGTTCTGTGTTGTCTAAGCTTCATGTTGTGCTTTTCTAGGCAGTGCTAGCGTGAAATGGAGCATCGTCAACTTGTCACAGGAGGCAGATAAGATGTCAGCCAGTTGTGCTGATGGGCCAAAGTCGTGGCTGTGTCTGTCATACAGGCATTCTGCTACAAGGCTGGCAAGGCTGCCTTTTCTCCAAGCACCTGCTTCATTTGAATCAGCTTTGATATGTCACTGTATTTTCTGGAAAACAAGTTCTATGAAAATTCCTCCCAAGGCAAATTTACAGGTGCTTTTTATGAGGAAAAGATTTTTTTTTATGACAGTATTTGCCTCTAGTGTAAATCTTTCCCCAGCCCATAAGGTTCACTTGCATCCTACATCTCAAAAACTTGTGCACACTTCATTAATCTGCTCTTTTATGGAGACAGAGGTTCAGTGATAATAGCACCCTAAATGACATTAATACACAGACAGTTTTTAAAGGAAACTTAAAATATAATAAAGCACTTTATTTTCTGTTTCATAGAACTAGGAATAAAACCTCTAGATGGCACCCAAAGAACAAGATAGAAATGAACAGGTCTTAAAAAATTCTGCCAGCTATAACATATCCATCATTTTGATGCAAACACATCATGTAGGGAATGGGAGATTATTAAAAGCGTTATACTTATGCCAGTGACAAGGACAGGTCCAGCAAATGCCTGTTTCCCGGAAACAGCAGGTGATTCTGCAAGCAGTAACGCTGCCTCTTAATCTTTGTGTGACACACGTTAAGAGGGTAAGCATGCCTTGTAAAATATTGTGAGACTCCTGTTACATCAAGTTTCTCTTTAGGATATGAAAACTACAGCGTATCAGCAATATGCATGAAAGGAGATTTGAATTCGAGCTCTAAAGGCAAACATCTCAGACTGTGCAGCTTCCATAGGTTCTCAAAACCTTTTCTAATATTGTAAGGGCCATGCCCTATCGTTTTTGTTCAGTCTTTACAGAGGGATGATTCCATTTGAAATTAACAGGAGGTCTGGGAGCAAAAAGTGCAGGGTCTGGCTCTCAGCCACTGCAAGATTCAGTGATGTCAAGAGCTGTAAGAAACTACTAGCAGCCTTCTATATTAATATTTAATTCCTCATTGGAATGTGCAGTAACTCAGTACCAGCTTTGTCCTTGGGTATTAGCTCAAGGTTTATCAGATTGTTATCTTTTAAAAATAGCACACTGGACCTCACATCATTTCCTTTATGAACATTTGAACTTTGTGTGGGTGCATTAGAGGACTGCTAACTTGTCTCATGTTTTAAGTTAATGTAGCTCCATTTTCTGTTATTGTTGTTGCTCTGTTACATTTATATTGTACAGCTGAGGGTCCTATAGGAAAAAGAGACTTAGACACCCTACCGCAGTTGGAAGTAATATGTTTAATAGCTGTAGCTAAAGCCTTTCCCATGGTATCCTAAACTATCCTGCAGGGCTGTCCCATGCAGGTTTCACCAGGCACCAGTCTTGACTAAGAGATTTTGCCCTCCACCCTGCCAAGGGCCCCTGTGGGAAGACATTATCCATCCAATGATGCTGGTGCACACAGCATATAGAAGAAAGGCAGATGGAAAGAGCTACAGCATCTGTTAAAGCCAGAACCAGTGTGGTTCTTTACCATTTTAAATAATGGTTAAAATGATGATCAAAATTTTACTCTGCTGACTTAATGATGTCCAGTGGACCATTTTGATTGAAAAAGTGCAATAAAAGCCAATCCAACAATTGTAACTCACCTCCAAAGCCAGCCCTTCTGATTGCAAACAGGATGCAAAAAAGAACCCCACATAGTCATGTGCCACTTTCGCTGTACAGGAAAAAATGCCTTCCACATGTGAAAATGGCAATCAGCCTCCTGCATGGTGCTTAATGGGAGGTAAAACACAAGACAACTCCCTGACTGGTATTTATGAGGCCACATGCAGATGTCACCATCTGAGCTAATCATTGAAACTCCCTTCTTAGAAAATGGAGAGAAACAAGTACTAGTATGTCACAAGTCATGTCATTCTAAAGCAGATGTCTCAAATAAGTGAGATGAATCATGTCTGTTCTTTCCATTGATTGTAAGGGAAGCTTAGAACAACAAGGTTGGATGCAAAACATCTACATGGCTGATGTTTCAACTCAGGTGTCTTCTGCTGACCACTTACCTGACATAGAACAACATTTTCATTAACAGACAGACTAGCAGCCAAACTCCTCCCTCCACTCCCACGTCATACACCAGATACCCAAAGTGCCAGACAACCAAAGAAAGAAACAAGTCAATGCTCTTACTCACCACAGTGGACATGAAGAGGGGAAAGAGGTGGGCAAGGAGCCAAGCCACGTGCAATGGTAGCAGCCAGGCCATGA